CAGCAGATAGTCCCGGCGCCCCATCCTGGCCTGGAAGCCATATTGCCGCACCCTTCCCATGGTGTCTCTTATAATGCTCCCAAGCTGCCTCTTGTGCGCGTTGCATATAATCTTATACGCCACCTGCAAGACCGCCACAGGCCTGTAGTTAACTCTCTCCCCCTTGTCCCCTTTCCCCTTGTACAACCAAGCGACCCAGCCTGTCTGCTGCTCTTCTGCCCCATTGGCCTCGTCGATCTGCTTCAAGATCTTCGCCCAGTTCACCGGGTCCATCTTAAACAGCTCCCCGATGAGCCCGTCTGGCCCCGCGGCCCTCGCGTAGTTCGCCTGTTCTATCGCCTCCTTGTAGGCCTCCCAGGGGAGCCCTCCCTCCCCCATGACCTCTAAACTGCTCGCCAACTCCTCGCCGATCTTAACCGACCACGCCCCTACTTGTGCCTCTTTCTTCGCCTTCTGCCATTTCTCCTCCGTGTCCTTTTCTCCCTCTTCCGGTATCTTCCAAAGCTCCTCGATTCTCAGCCTGAAGGCGTCTGCTATCTCCTCGTCTGTCCGGGCGATCTTTTCCACTTTCCCATCTGCTCCCGTTATCTTTATCGCCACGTCTTTCGCCCTCTTCTTCCTCTTGCTTGTGCCTTTGTGCTGTCTCGCCATTTCATACAGCTGCTTCACCTGTTCTGTCCTCGTCCCCCTCGCAAGCTCCCTAATTCTGTCCGCCCAGCCTTCTCGCTTCGCCTTCTTCTCCTCTTCGCGGATCTCCAGCACGATATCTTCCTCGTTCTTACGCGCTTCCCCGTATTCTGCCAGCCTCTCCCTGATTCTGGCGCCCCTTTCTGCCCTCCTCTTGGCCCTGCCTCCCTCCTCCACAGGTTCCTGCTCCCCCTTTTCTCTTCCTCCTCGATGGCCTCTCCTCCAGGCCTCGAAGACCTGCCACAGGACCCCATCGGCGTCCCAGTCTCTTACCAGCCTCGCGAGGATGGCCCCCGCTAGCTTCCCCCCCTTCACAACCTTCGCCTTCTTTTCTCTCATCCTCTGCAGTACGTTGCCGGCCTCCTTCCTCGTCCCTTCCTTCGCCACCTCTACCCGCTCCGTCCTCACATTCGGTATGCTCGTTTCCGTTATGGTCCGGATCCTCTCCGCCGCTTCCCCCCAATCGGGTACCCCTGCTCCCCCTTTCGTTTCCCCTTCGCCCATCCTGTCTTTTTCCTCCTTCCACTTTTGAAGCTGCCCCTCTTCCTCCTTCTCCTCCTTACCTTCCTCAGGACTCTTCAACCAACGGAAGCGCCTGTCAGCCACTAGCCTCGCCAGCCGCGCGTCTTTCTTCCCCTCCTCTTCGTTGTAGGCGTCCACCCCACTCATTTGCCTGTGCTGGTTTATCGCCATCCTGCTTGTCCATTCCATTATCTCCTCCATTTCCGTGCGCCTCTCGGTTTCCACATCCTCCACGCCCTTGGCGTCCTTTTGTGCCCTCTTGAGTGTCTCCCACTCCCTCAGCCTTTGCCTCTCTTCCTCGGCTACTTTCCTCAGCTCTTTTTGCCTCTCACGCCGTGCCCCTTGTCCCTCTTCCTCTTGCCCTTGCTTCCAAGAGCGGCCAAACAAGCCTGCCACTCGTTCCTCCAGGCTCTTTCTCCTCTTTCTTATTTTTCCTATTTCCTCCCACTTTTTTCGTTTTTCCTGCTCCTTTACTGTCTTCCCAAGCCTCTCCTTAATCCATGCCAGGTCACCCGATCTCTCTTCCGTCCTCTTTCCATTCTGTATCTTCCTCATCTCCGCTCGCAATTCCCTGGGCGTCCACCTGCTCACGTTCCCCAGCCTGATCTCCCTCCTCTTGTCTTCTGAGGTCGTGCCTCTTTCTTGCTGCCCCCTCTTCTCACCGTTTTCGCCCGTCTTCTTTGTGTTGTTTTCTCCTCCTTCCTCCTCCCCTCCTACGCCTGCCTCCTCGGCCTTCTTCGCTCTTCCCCCTGCTTCCTTTTCTCTCCTTCTTCCAACCGTCCCCCTCAGCCGCTCCCATTCTTCCCGGAACTCCTTCCCATACTTAGACGGCCGGACAAGCTCGCGCTTATGTCTTGCCATTTCCCTGATCCTCTCACGATCATATCTAATGGGCTCCGCATTCCCCTCCTTCTCTTTCCCTTTCGCCCCAGCTGTCCACCCTATCGTCGCTAGCATAGGCCTATGGCCCCTTTTTTCCCCCTCCTCCTTCATGGTGTATCCCATTTTGTCTCCCCCTACCTGTATCTTGCGGAGCCTTTCCATCGCCCCCCTGTTTGCCAAGATGTAGTCAATTTTGCTACGCCCTTCCCCGTTCGCAGTGGTGTACTCATAGGTGTGCGCCTCCGCTGCTCGATTCTTTCCTGTCGTGCAGGCGAGTCGCATGCCCCCAAGCTGCGCCAACCTCAGTAACTCTTCCCCGTTTCCGGTGGTCACCCTGTCCACTATCCGGGACCCCGTCAGGCCCTCTCTCGTTTCCCCTATCTTCCCGTTTGCATCGAGGAAGAGTAACGTCGCCCCTTGCCAATTGTCTGCTTCCCTTTGCAGCTGCGCCCACCTCTTCTCCGCTCCTAGTTCCCCTTCCTGTCTCCCATAGTGCCCAACCAGGGTTAGTCGCGCCTCCCCCCCAATCTCGACCCTGACCGTCTGCTCGGTCGCGGTGTCGATGTTTTGCTCGTGTCTCTCTATTTCTGCCGACAAGGCCACCGTTACCCCCTCGGCATTTTTCGCCCCCTTCCCTGCCTGCGTTGTCAACTTGTACCCCCCGACCCACTTGCTGCCCTCTGGCAATCTGCTCTCCAGCAGGAACGCTACGCCTATCCCGTTCGCCCTCATGTCCTGCGCTAAAGCCTCCTCTCTGCCCTTTAGCGTGTTGCAGTTGTGCATGTGCACCCTGATGAACTTCCTCCGCTTCTCTTTCTTCCTCTGTTTCACTTTTGTTGGCACTCTCGCTTTTGCCGCCTCCCTCACAAGCTCACGGCCTAGGTTTTGCCCTCCTTCCTCCCTCACATTTTCCAGGCCCTCTTCGATTGCCATCACCGTGCGCCCCCCCTGGCGACTGTTGCGCTGGATGTGTGCCGGCCCGAGCTGGGTCAAAGGGCGGGGCCTTTCAAGCAGGTCAAAAATAGACAGCAAACCTATAAAGCCGCGCGCTTTGCATAAGAGGCCCGAGCAGAGTGAAAGGGCGGGACCTTTCAAGCAGGTCAAAAGGCGACAGCAATTGCATAAAGCTGCGCGCTTCAGATATGACGCCTGAGCTGGGTCAAGGGCGGGACCTCTCAAGAAGGTCAAAACTGGGCAGCAGTTTCCTACAGCTGCGCTCTTTAAGTAAACAGCTGGGGCTGACTGGGTGAAAGCGTGGGACCTTACGAGCAGGCCAAAAGTAAGCAGCAGCCCCAGAAAGTGCGTCGCGCTTTTATTTTGGGCAAAGACCTTGAGCAAAGCCAAAGGGCGGGACCTTTCACGCAAGTGAGGCCACAAGTAGACGGCAGCCCCATAGAGTTGCGCTCTTTGAGTAAGACGCCCGAGCCTGGTCAAAGGGTGGGACCTTTCAAGCAGGTCAAAAGTGGGCAGCAATTTCATAAAGCTGCGCCCTTTGTTTGAGGGCGGTCGCTGAGCTAACAGAAAGGTAGGCTGGGACCTTTCAAGCAGGTCAAGAGTAGCGATCAAAATCATACAGCTGCGCCCTTTGGGTAAGAGGTTGGAGCAGAGTCAAAAGCCGGGGCCTTTCAAGCTGCAGGCCAAAAGTAGGCAGCAGCTTCATAATAAAGCTGCGCCGTTTGGATAGGGTGCCTGCACTGGGTCAGAGGGTGAGACCTTTCCAACAAGTCAAAAGCGCCAGCAGCTTCATAGCGTTGCGCCGCTTGGGTGAGGGTCCTGAACTGAGCCAGATAAAGGAGGGAACCTCCTAAGCAGCTCACAAGTACGCGGCAACTTTATCGCGCTGCGCTTTTTGGATAAGAAAAGAACAAACGCAAAAGAGAAGACCTCCCTAGTAAGCCATAAGCAAACAGCAAGCCCATCCGCTTGGGCTTGCTTTCTGGTGAGAAAGCTCAGGCGGCTCACAGATTGCATCACCCAAGCACGCGAAAGCCGCACATCACTCGAGTGGCGTCGTCCTTGTTCACTTAGATCAAAGCCCTGAGGTGACGCATACCCACACCCTTCGAGAAAGCCAAGAGCACGCAGACAAGAAAGCTAAGCGATACGGCGCGACTTGCCTTAACTAAGCCTGAGAGGGTAAATGGCTCGCAGATGCATCACATACACGAAGCAGCTGAAAAGGAGGCAGCAGCGCGACACCATAAAGCTGCGCGATTTGGATGGAAAACCCTAAACGGCACAAAGAGGAAAACCCCGCCAACAGGCCGAGAGTAGAACAGAGCCACCCCCCTAGTCCTCTCCACGGAGAGGACCAAATGTAGACGCTCGCACAGTGAGCGGAGCCGGGCGCGGTGCTTCACCCACTATGCTGAGGACCGAAAACAACAATCCCGCGGCCCCCCTCGCGACATTGCCACGCTGGAGGCGCAACACACTCCAAGAGTAGGGGACCCGGGGCCAAAATCCGGGCCAGGGAGCGCGCGAGGCTCTCACGGTGAGCGGAGTCGGGCGGAGTGCTTCGCCCAGCCACTATGCTGAGAACCGAAAACAGCACCAGCAAGCCTGGAGCGATCTGCCTAAGTATTTGACTCTCGGCAAATGTGCCTGGTTACTCGTTTGCCTCATTCGTTTGGAGTCGTTCTGCTTTGGGCGTTTCGGGTGCTGCCAGGGTGGTGAGTGTTTACGTAGCACGCAGCAGCTTGTAGCACGTAGCTGCTTTGCTTATGTATTCCATCGCCCGCCACTCTTTACGCAATTCGTAGCACGCCGGTAGGCCGTATGCTGGATTTCATGTAACTCGTAGCATTTCCAAGACCCTTCCGCCCTGCCCCGGCGTGTGTACACCCCGGGTGCACGTGGGCGGTAGAAGTTAGTAATAAGATAACTCTAACAGGTAAAGTAACTTAAACTTAGTTTAAGCAATCAGCTAGCCTTAAAAGCTGCCTAAGCAAGTGGTCCGCTTTCTCAGAGGGCCCTCCCACCGGGGTCATTTGCATCATCTTAGATGTAGTTCAGCCTCAAGAAGTACTTTGTCTTCTCAGGCTCAGTCAATGTATCTTCACGGAAACGGATGACAAAATCAAAACAAGTCCTAGTAGGTACTACGTACTACTGGAAGTTCTACTTCGTTTCTTATTCTTACTTCCATTCTCTCACTGTGTTCTGAGAAGGAAACGACGAGAAGCAGCACCTTGTAGAAATGGCATTTTGATTTTCATCCAAAGAGTTTTTCAATTATCATCCAAAGTAGAGTGTAAGAAAAAGAAGCTAACTCAATACCTAGTATACGTTCTTGCGCTGTTGAGCCTTAATCATCGACTGCGAGGATGACCGGTTAGTTCGTGCAGGTAGCACGACAAGCCCGTCCCCCTCCAGTTCGTCATCCGTTGTATAAGCATTAACCATCTTCTCAACCGGTCAGAATTAGACGTCGTGGCTGGCCTACACTTGTTGCAAAAGTCATATATTATATTTAAGAAATATTGACTCTGACTGAAGTGCCACACTATGGGAGATTGAGTGACGATGTGGATGTGCCAGACTGATTCATGAAGGAGTCCAAGTATTTTGAGTCTCACGACTGTCACACGGCTGAAGCAATGCCGTAACTCCGAACCTCCTGCGCCTCGTCAATCTTGTCCATCCGCTTCTCCTGTGGAGCTACAGGTAGCTTTTTGTCCTTCTCCTGTGGAGCGAAGGCCTTACCCTCTGGCCTTTCTACAAACTTCCAAGGGTCATGCTGTAGGATGCCAGAAACGCCAGAAGATGCCTTAGTCGACTGAGCACCTCCCCTGGAAAATAACGGCGCAGTCAAAGTCGTAAAAGGAATTAGAGTGAACAACTCGAGAATTCAACGTCACAGGTGTAATTGGAATGGATAACTCGAAGATAATTTTCACTGAGTCCTACTTTCTACTATAATCGTACGCGTACATGTAAATAAACTAGTACTCTTCTAAAACTAAAAGAAGATACTTAGTTCTTCTACCTTCTGTTATGGGTTCTTGGAGACCTTCTAGTGCTCAACAATAGTTGATCTACAGGTAGTATCTCCTAGAAGCATAATCATCTTCACCACCTCCTTCTAATAGGTAACAAGATACGAAGAGGAAGAAAAAGAGGAGTAATACTCTTTCATAAATCGCCTCCGGTCCACACGAAAGCGAAGAGAACAAGTGCGATCATGCCGCACACGAGTAGACCGAAAAAAGACGTCGAGAATCGAGTACCGAATGTTGTGGTTGTTCTATTTGTAGGGTTTTGGTAGATGCTTAGAGATAGCCTCTAAATATATTCGATAAACTGAAACAAGCGAGCAGTAAAAAATACTGAAAATAAGCGGATACTGAAGTAAGAGGAATGTAGCCAAGACTCTCTTACTTCAGTCAGTAACTCGCTTGCCTCCACTTTTCGAATAGGATAGTGTGCCTCGACTACGCCCTCACACATAGAGGTGGCGAGCTTCATGTTCATACAATGAGCAACAGTTTGTGTTTGCTTTTGCAGTATTCATAGTGAATAGTGGAGCTGCTCCTGAGAGCTGGTGGAGCCAAGCTAGTAGACATTGTAAGAAGAAACGCTCAAGAGGTTATTTTTAGGTGGAAGACAACCAGAGGAGCGTCGTCGTATTAATACAAGCATCTCGTAGATGATCTAGATCTAGGTTTTTTTCAATCATCATCATCGAAATGTAAATCGTAACGACTTTTCTTCCAGCATGGTGCTACTTTTACTGCTACCACTACCAACCAAAGCCTCCTCTTCATCTCCTTCCTCTCCGTAGTCTGGCAAACGCTGCTGTAATGAAAGTTGAAGGAACAACTTAGTAGGGTGGCGTGATGGTTGTACTAGCACGAAAAATCCTTGAGATAGTCCTTTGAGCAGGAAAGTAAGATGACGACATCGACGAGTGTTGACATCATGGACGACAAATGCTTTCATATTCCACAGACCTCAAAACCAGCCAAGACATCTTCCACAACCTAGAAGACCTACCAAGACCATTTCAGTTTCTTCTTAAGGAGCCTTTTCCTCCATTTTGTCGTCTATTGGTGAAAGGTGGCGGCTGCCAAGACCAAGTGACACCTTCTGGTATAATTTTTCCACTTTCGTTTATTAGATGAGTGCTCCTTCATGTTCCCTGCTTCTTGAGGAGCTGTTGATGATTTTGAGTCTCGACCTTTTTGCCATTTCTATGTATACTGGAGTTAATTTTTTTGACCCATATCGGGTTCGGCCCGAGTTTCTCGGGTTGCTCGAGTTACTCGAATCGCGCACGCAAATTATTTCGCTGCGGCCTGCGGGCGCAGCCGTCACGAGACGTCGAAGCAGAAAACAAGAGACCTGCGGGCCGGCAGGAGGGGCGTCCGCTAGTGGAAGACTGCAAAGGCAAGCAGCCGAATATTCGCAAAGGGTCCAACGCGTGGGCCCGGGGGGTGCGGCAACAGCCCACCCGGCTGCCCACCAACGTGAAACCGCACCCACCGCTACCCGCCCACACATCAGCCCCCGCCGCATTGTCCCCCATTTCGCAGCGGTATCCCTCGGCCGCAAGCAGGCCCCGAACCCCCCCGGCGTGAACCCTTCACACCACAACGCAGCGGGACGAAAACCAAAACCCAGCTTGACACCCCCCAACCAAACCACAGGGGGGGGGGCGAGGCACCTGGCCCCCGCCACCGAGTGGGGAGCGGCGCGCCACTATCGATCCCAAACGGGACGGGGCAACGCCTCCCCGGCCTTCTTTTGCGGGGGAGGTCGCTAAGACGGCGCCCCGCATGTCGAGCAAGCTCTTCGGCCCCCGCGCCGCCCTGCTTCGCCCCATTTCGGTGGGCCAGGCTCCTTGTGGCAACTCGTTCCAGAGTTGGAGCCCTTCGCTTCAGCAACTCGAGCAACTCGAAGCCCTTTATTTACCTTACTCTACGTATACAATTCACAACTTCTCTAAGAGCTATTCCAAACGAGTTGTCTAGGTTTGACTCTGGGTAAATATTGTTCATCAACATTACTGGACAACTCGAAGTGCTAGTGGGTAACTAGTAGATTGATCTAGCGATGAGTATCAAGAATATGCATTGCAGACTACTCCCCAATACTACTCATGAGCTTCAAGTTCTAAAGAAGTCCAGGAACTCCACCAGTCGATCCCTAAACGCTGCTCCATTTTCGGCGGCTTCAGTCTCTTCTTCTCGAAGTTAGCGCTAGTTTTTAAGGAGCCAAAAGATATTGAGAGTCCATTACTAACTAGGAGCATTATGGGAATATTCGTAGTTACCGGACTCACTTTAGAGCATAAGATAGTCTCACTTTGTGCCATTTCGAAGGGAAATGGCTGCCATGGATCTAGACCCACAATGGGTTGTTGATAGACCGCGCGACACCGTTGAAGATGGGACCATAGACGGAAACGGCTTGGAAGTAAGCGGGTTTCGCTCGCCGCTATGGTTATGTCTAGATAGGCTTCGCCTAGCGACACCATTAGGATTGACTTATGTCTGCGCATTGGTCATGGAAGTCTTTGAGAGCGTTGCGGAGGATATCCGATCCTACGCCAGACGTGGTCTGCAGTTGGATGTAGCAGCCGCGCCTTGCGGGTGCGAATCTGTTGGAATGTCAGAAGACAGGACCTTGCTGTCGCAGCGAGTATAGCAAGGACGCTTGCTCTGGTGCGTGATGGAAGGCCGTAACTGGGGTGGCAGTACAGGGAGCCTTACGGACTTGTCTGTCTGCTGACTGGCCAGGCCTTGGGTGCTCTTCGAGCACTAGCCTCATGTGGGTTAGGTGTCTAGCGTTAGCACAATGACACAGTATCATCCTTCCTTCGGTTGGATCTTGGTATAGTTTGCATGATGTGATGCTTTGCAGGTGTTGCATTATGTGACCGGACAGCACATTCACGAGGTGGGTGCTGACGCGGTGCTGCGAAGGAGGGGCAGCACCGACCTGGCCCGAGGTGTCCAACGGGTGCGTCCATCCGCTGCGCGGGTGGGCGGATGGAGGATCTGCGATCTCTCCTTGACTATCTTGACTTCAATGCACTACATAACGAGATCATGGCATTCGCCTGGTGTAAGTAGACTGTGCAGGAACTGGTGACAAGTCAGATGCTTCTGGTGATGGAGCTGCAAGGCAACTCACGTTGTTGCAGTGACTCTCACGCGGGAGGAGCGTTCTAGGAAAGCAGCGATGTTCAATGTGAAAGATAGTGAGACTATCTTATCTTGTTCTGAGTATGGTAAAGGCGTGATTTCTACTAGTTGGGGGCTGTTCCGGGGTCCGATTTCCCGAAGAAAAATACATTTGACATGATCACAATCGAGAAGAAGAACAGTTCCTAGTCAAGTCTAAACTTGAAACACAAAGGGAGTTAGCGTGAGCCTTCATATGGCTTTGATCCTGCAAGGGATCGAAGACCTGAACTAAGGAAGGAATGAAAACGCGCTCTGCAAGTCGTTCCGACTGAATGAACAGCAAGAATGAAAATGGAAATGTAAGGGTGAAGATCTCTCCTTCGGAAAGAATGCAGGACTGTAAAATTTAAATTGACGATCAACGGCGTGTGAGAATAGGTGACGGCTTCAGCAGTGTGTCCGTGAGAAAGCGAGCTTCAATTTTGGCACTTCGTGCTACTGCATGAACTGAAGATGGATCTTTCTGCGTAAACGACGATGGATGTTTGTGCAAGGCTGTGAACAAGTTAGGAAACTGCGTTTCTACATTTTTCCGAGCTTTCAGCTTCATCATACCCGTGATTACTGAATATCAAGTAAGGACGAATCAGCAAATCTTATCATCTTCCAATCTTTATCAACCCCAGGGAGAGTCTGACTACGGAAAAGTCCTTATTCTAAGGCAACCACGAACGATCTCCGATCGTGCTAATCAAGTTTGTAAAAATCTTTGTTGAGATATCATCTCTTCAAACTACAAGATGGGTGGAAAATCCGGACAATACGGTGACGGCAAACCCAGCCGGTCTTCCTCGAAGACGGTTCGGAAATCCGACGACCACAAGGATAATGCCCAATGGCATGCCCGCAACCACAGTCAAGGGAAAGGAGACGGGTCGTTGTATAAGGAGAGACGACAAGACCGTGAGAACCAGCGAAGCGAGTCTCACGGAAAGAACAGGAGCACTTCGAGCTCCTACAACGAGCCGCATCGTGGCCGAGACCGCGGCTACAACCAGTCGTATCGCTCCGGCAGCGGTTCGAACTACCCGACATCCGGAGGTACTACGTACCCGCCAGATGAGCGAGCAGCGCTCTTGGCTCAACCCGGAGCGATGGGAGATGACGGCAGCGGCCCTGATCCATATATCCATGGATATTCGCGAGATCAGTGGAAACGCTGGAACCGCGAAAAGGCGGACAAGTGTAAAGCCGTCACTACAGCGGCACAACCACAGGGTCCACCGACTCTGGAAGCACCACCTCCGGCTGTTGCTCCCGCAGCGGCGGATGTGATGATGCTCGATGAGCAAACGAAGGTCACGGCGGCGGTGGAGATGGAAGGTATTTCCCCGAAGTACGTACCGCAAACGATGGACCCGAATGTGGAGGATAATACCGCATGTCAGTGGGGATGGAAGAACTCGCGTTCTGCGGAGGAAATGGACCAGGATGATGATTTCTTCCTGAGTCCGGCCAGAGACGAAGAACGCGCGAAGGTGGCGATTCGACCAGAAAACCTCAAAGTCGTCTATGTGGACAATAC